CTAGTGGTAGTACTGGTGTACTTGCCATCCTATCTCATCGTCAGCTGTTTGACAGGCTCGACCAATCCGTTTATGCGTGAGAGAGGGAGGAGACGGGTCAACTCTGGGGAATTTGCCTTCGCGTAAGATCGTCGAGATCCTCAGTATAATAAATTAGACGCGTGTGGGCCTCCCACGATGCTCTAAGAATCGTGGCTTGGGAGACTGCTAACCTACAGTGCGTGACCGATCTCATGAAATGTTGGCCGAAATTTCCAAGTGAATTTTTTATTAGGAAGGCTTAATAAGGTGGAGTTTAAATATTAATCATCATGCAGCATAATTCTATAGCTTTTCGGACTCATCAGGATGTCGGCTTTTGGATTCACTCCTTTTTGGCCTTCTGCAGAAACCGCGATCTGCAAAAAATGCCTGCTTAAGTAGCATGTATTTTTCGCATTGATTTTCGATGGTCTTACAAATTCAAATATATCTTACAGAAAACGTGTATGAAAATAAGTTTTCTTTTATTTGTTCGGTAGAAAATCTCACTGTCTTTATATTTTATAATCGTAAAAGTGTATATGCAATTTTTAAACAAGTTTTTTTAAGATTTCCGAATAATTTTGAGCCATATCTGCCATTGCAGTAGCGTTTAGCGATTTCAGTTTACAAGGTGCATGCTTTCCGCGTAAGGAGACTCATATATTCCTCTATGCGTTTAAGAAGGTATCATATAGAGTTCATAAAATTTTGTCATGGATCCGGACCGTGTTGTGAATTTCATGAGAGGCCTTAGTAAACGGACATGTACGACGTTGTACATATGGAAATCGCACGGTCTTGCAAATCCCATAATTAGGAACTTTTTAAAAACCTATATTATCGATATTTACCAACATGACGGGATCATATTACTAAGTACCGGATTACTATTCATTATAGGATTTCATTCCCACCCCTGAATGAGCGCTAAAAACAGGAGGAAGAGGGGGAGGAGGAGGAGGAGGAGGAGGAGGAGGGGAAGGAAAGAGATAGAGCGAGCGTTTTTTGTACATATATTTTATTCAGTGGCCTTCGAGCTAAAGGCTGTCTGTTTCTACTGCGCTGGTAAGCTTCACTTTATCCAGCAAGGGTAGAAAAGCGAAGAAGACGTTTGTTGCTTCGCAGACACAGGCAAAACACATTAAAGTCAGGTATCAGAGGTCTTCACAGCTGTGTCATCATGCGTGATCGTGTTCGCCATCAGCGGAGATCAAGGGAAACCAACAGGTCATCGAGGACACTGGATATCTTGTCCTCATGGAAACGGCACAGAGAGCCATCTTGGCTGCTTTACGGGAGATTGGATCGTTGCGGGCCGCCTCCAGTTCTGTGGCGATGCGTTTAGGGTAGAGTGGATCCACAAGCAGGTAGTCCATTTTCCAGAACCGGAAGGCATAGTAAATGAGCAGAGGCCAACGTTGGCGGAAGATGAGATTTTTCGAATTCGGACCCTTCTCGGTGATGCATCTGAGGATGCTGATGTTGGGACAGCCCTCGATCATGTAGCCTAGGAGGCAGAAGTAGTGCATGAAACTGCTGGGGCAGGTGTCAATGGCTCGCACCACGGCGGCAGTCACATCATAGGGTATGTCCAGAGTGAGATTATGCCGCATGTCCTCAACAAGCTTATTACTGCTGAAGAGATAAGCCAGGGTGTAGCAACACTCCTGCCGACTGCTGGGTCGCTCAGCAACAAGGTTACTCAGCAGAGGCTCAAGCCAAAATCTCACGTGAGTCCACATCTGGTGTCGTAGTTTTGTTTCATTCGAAGCCGTCGCCAGGACGTAGAGAATCTCCAGACGTGTGCAGGCGGAGGGATCAGAACCACGGTAGAAGAGTTCCTCGCCGAGCAGCTGAAAGAGCTTAATGAATTCCTGAGGGGCTTGCAGTTTAAGAAGACTGGGATCACAACGAGCCCGACCGAACCAGCTGGTGAATAGACCCAGCACAAGGAAGTCAGCCTCATAGAAGTGGCTGGCAATGGAAGAGAGGATGCACTTGGAGGTGTCTGTCAAGGATACTCGGAATTGGGCATCATTGTCGGTATCCGAGTCTTTCATCTTCACTTGAGATAGGTCGGGTTCGTTGGATTTTTTTAGGACTCTCAAGTACTGCAACTCCTCCGGCAGTCTGGCGATATTTTTGAAGCTGAACATTCGTCGGAGCGAATTGTCCCGCAGTATGGTGACAGTATACAGCTCACGCATTTCTTCCGTGTCCAGCGAAATGAGCGGCACGTGGAGGTCGTAGTCTTTTATCTTGGCTGACAGGATTACTGTTCCGGAGTACATATGTCGCACGTCCTCAACTTCGGGCTTCAGCATACAGCGTGGGGTAAACTTGTCCCTGTTTAATTTGAGATACTGGTTGCTAGTCGTTGATTTGGACACGGACCTCCCTGTGAAGTCCATCGCCTCCTCATGAGCCGAGGCGAAAGTGCCTATACTTTCTGCGTCCTCCGTGTAGAAGTCTGGAGAACGCTTTTCTTTAGCTGGCAACGTTTCAGCCTCCCGGGCGCCTGCCTGCGCACAGGAGACATTCATCTGCAGGGTTGGGTCGTTGGACCAGAATTGGCGCAGGTCGTTTATGTACTTTAGATGTTCATTAATCTTCTTTAGACACACCTGCGCCCGACCGTCAGATAGTTGGTGACGAATCTTTCCCGGCAGATGGTCAAGCGGTCCATCCTTTGTGTAATTTGGCACATTGTGCTGAGTACGCCAGTCAGTGTACTTTTTAGTAGGCTTTTCCTTGCCCGGAATTTTTTTTAAATCCTGATACTGCCCCGCACACATTGGGCATCTACCGTAGGAGTAAAAGTAGGCGCTGCGAGTCAATGGCGGTACGGGGAGATACTTGTTGGGGATGGTATGGAGAAACCGCTTCCTTGAGCCCGATCTGCCCATCGTGACACGACTGCATACGGACTGTCTGCTGAAGGTTGGTCGATGCTGCCTCAGCTTGCTTTCTAGAATGAGGGACTGTATTTCTTGGTTGAGTCCCGGCGCCTCGTCGAGAGCCAAATGTGCCAACGGATTGAGGAACGAGGAGGGCTCTATTTCCACTTCGGGGATATCTTGTGCCAGCGGGGGCGCATGACCATGGGTGAGGGTTTTGGTGGGAGGGTCAGCAAATGGATTAGTGATAATTTCCGCATCCCAAACCAGCTTGAGTTCGGTTTCCAGGGAGAAGGTGAAGTCTAGACTGCTGACCGGTACGGGAAACGCTGAGGGGACCGCAGCGGACTGTACAGGCTCCGTGGATTCGCTCGTCAACTTAACCATTGGCGGCGCTATGGCAGTCGTCATTCTGCCGTACGCCCACACGATCTGCCCAACTTCCTGCAGCCTAGACTGGACCTCACATCAGCTGCCGCGAGACATGTGCCAGAGGCGTGGGCATCACTCACGCAACGCGTGACCTTCACTTGAAATAGGAAAATCAATCAAAACTACTGCAGTGGCCCCTTCGCAGGGTGTCAATGCACGTAGCACTCCCTCTCGTCATCGTCTGTGGCGGCGTGTTTGGCGCCGGGAAAATGCGGAAACATGTAATTGGCGTGCGTCGGGAACTCATTACTATCGTGGTTCCAGCCCACCAATAAAAGTGCCGCTACTAGTCCTGCCAACACTGGTTGCCGCGGGACTGCTGGTTGACGCGGCCGGCCAAGAAAGCTGGAGTGGGTTAATAGCCACAACGCATTTTGGGTTCACTTGCACCGTGCTGCTATGGTACCATCATCTATCCTAATGTCGACGGTTTCGGACTTGGGGTTGGGCATAACCGACTAACGACAGCTAATTGATTGTTCAACCCCCATGTCCTTGTTGGCACTCCTTCCTGCATGCATATTGGTCGCTGTGCGACTGCCTGCGAGGGCTTTAGATTGAACCCCCAGGACGCGACGGGTCGAGCATATCACGTAACCTGATTGGTGGACGCTCTTCCCACGATAAAGGGATTTTTCACATAAGGTCTGGAAACCGAAATGAGTGAAGGAACCGCCCTCAGGATCCAAGAGCAGCGGCCGTTACGGCGGTACGCAAACCGTTACCAGCATCCCATCGGGTAGCAGGGAGGTGACCCGCAGGCAATACTTCAGACGCCAGGCGGATAGCTAAGGTTTTAGAATTTGCTGGGTATTAGGCAAGAAACCAGTTAACAGTGGTCGTCCTGGTTTTTTGGATCGTCCACGAAGGATGTTAAGTGGACAGTGAAGCCACTTGCCATGCCATTAACGGCTGTTGTTGGGATTCAGAGGAGTCGCAGAAAGTTCAGAAAATACAGAAAGAGGACAGACTCGATTCGTGCACCTTTTCAGCCATTGGCAGAGTGGAGAAACACTGGAGATTTCAACCCAATGAGTGGCGAAGGTTTGGATCCCCGCGACTTGCTCCATCTCCATCAGAGGCCTCATCTTGGGTGCCATTAACGACGCTTGTTCGGATTCAGAGGAATCGCAGAAAGAACGTTATTACTGACGAAGACGAGGGAGATTAGAATGGTCATTTCTGGCTCATTAGCCGTCGTCAGCTAGTCATGCTCAACCCTGAAGTGTCGAGCATCTAGGGTTCGATCCCGCAACCTGTTAGTTAGAAGTCCAACGCCTCCAACCACGGAGCCACAGGCTCGTTGTCCTATCGGTTGCGATCGGGAATGTACAATGGTAGAGGGCAGTCATCGATCGTTTTTGCGGAATTCATCCACAGAAAGTTCTGAAAATGCGGAAAGAGGACAGACTCAAGTCGCACACCTTTTTCAGCCGTTGGCAGAGTGGAGAAACGCTGGAGATGTCAACCCAATGGCCGGCGAAGGTTTGGATCCTGACGACTTGCTCCAGTTCCATCAGAGGCCTCATCTCGGATGAAAGATGCTCCGATAGACCTACAGTACGTGACCGGTCTCATGAAACGTTGGCCGAAATTCTGAAATGCGTCTTTGACTAGGAAGGAGTAGTAAGGTGGCGTTGTAATACTAATTACCATGTAGAATAATCCCATAGTATTTCAGACTCGCCAGAATGCCGGCTTTTGACTGCACACCTTCCTGACCTTCCGCGGAAACAGTAATCGATAAAAAATGGCCACATAAGTAGCATGCATTTTTTGCGTTGATTTTCGTCAGTCTTATAAATGCAAACATATTTTATAGAAAACAGACATTAAATATGCTTTTTTTACTTTTTGGTCGAAAACCGCACCGTCTTCGCATTTTATACCCGATTAAAATGTATATTTAGGTTTCAAAAAGGTTTCCCAGTTCCCTAATAGTTTTGAATGTGATCAGCTGTTGCATTATCGTTTGGCGAGTTCAGTCTACAAGCTGCATGCATTCCGCGTTACGAAAATTATATGTTCCCATATGCCTTTAATTAGATACTATATAGAGTTCATGAAATTTTGCAATGGATACGGGCTGTGTTGTACATTTGACGAGAAACACTGGTAAACGGATGTGTGCGGCGCTATATATATGTACATCGCACGGTCTAAAAACCTCAGAATTAGAAACTTTTTTTAAAACCGGAAGATAACCTTCCTTTGAGTATAAAATATGAAGTGTGATTCCCAACCAAAACAAGTAAAAGAAAGCATATTTTTGTGTCTGTTTTCTATAAAATATGTTTGAATTTATAAGACAGTCGAAAATCAATGTACAAAATGTATGCTACTTATGTGGCCATTTTTTATCGAGTACGATTTCTGCGGAAGGTCAGGTAGATGTGCATTTGAAAGCCGACATCCTTGCAAGTCCGAAATACTATATGATTTTGCTCCGTGACAATTAATACTTCAACTCCACCTTATTAATCCTTCCTAATCAAAAATAAATTTCGGAACTTCGGCCAACGTTTCATGAGATCAGTCACTCACTGTACCTTCAGCCTCAGGGGCAACCAGTCACACGCACGCACCAACTCTGTTACCATCCAATCAACGCTCCAAGCTGACACTGGCTGGATCTCACAGAACACTTATTCTGAAGAAGATGCGGCCGCTGAGACACGAAATTTGCAGGTCTGACGTTTTGGATTCCCACTTAAGCCCATCATCAGAGACAGTCGCCGACTCCCCCCCCCCTCTTGAGGAGGACAGTGTTATTTAAGTCGTGCTTTGCTTCACCACAAGTCATTAGTGAAGACTGACTGCATTATATACCATTTGCCTTTCGCCAAACTCTTAGATGTACTCGACGGCCCACTGATTAGAAATCCTTCCTGTTCACGCATTTCCACTGGCAGAGATGGAAATTAGAAGACTGGATATCTGGGGGGAAATATTTTAAAGATCACGCCCTCTTTGTCGCTTTCAACTGACAGACTTACAAACACCAAGCAGGTCAGAGACTTTTAATATTTATAATGCTATTAAGGGGCTTTGGAATTCAAATAACCGCCAACATCCACCAACGGAGTTAACACTTCTGTGTCACGCGGTTGAAAGAGAGATTTGAACGACTTCCATGAGAGGGCTGACAGACCTAGTAGGCAGGGCAAATGCCTTCGTCTGCGCTGGTTGTAATGATGGCAGGAATACCGAGTGGCCTATCATGGAACCACAATAATGGGGGAATACGGGTTCCCTTAGTGCTCCTGTGCTAGATTCCAGACGGACGCCTACTCCCGTGTCCTAATTTTCACCCCCACTCCCATCCTAGCCTTCCTAATCGTAACACTTATTATAACTGCCCCTAGGATGTTCGGAAAGGTCGCCAGTAATAGGGTGTTTGCATATTCTAACGCACAACCGGATTCTCTTTTTGTGTTCTCCTACCCCCTCACACGCCGACGCGACGTAAACGTTTCATGCTTTCATCGACAAGGCGATTTCCAGCCAGAAGAACTGCTGGAAATTCTCTTTTGTTAACTGTCCTTGAGTTATCATCTGAATTTTAAACATGTCAGGTCGCTTTTACTACAGTAAAAAAACCTTTTTAAACGCACTCCTTATAAATGCTTTCTTCATCGGCCCAGGGAACAGGAGGTGAGGGTAAGGATCGCCCCGTCTGTACACCGCGACTGCATTTAGAGCCCGCTTAACGCCTACTGAGGTCATAGGCCAGTCCCGAGGATAAACTGGTTGATATCCACTAGTTAGACCGTTCACTGACTCATTTTCTGCTCTATCAAGCTCATCTAGCCCTCCCGGCGACTTTCCGTAGAGTAGCAATAACCATTTGGTGACGATGGTTTACTACTACAACATGCCTACTCATTTTATTTAGGTAGGAATACTATGTTAATCTCGCTTTTCCGCTGCGCTTAGGAAAATGATTAAATTTTGGTTCAAGATGCTTGCATTCTCAGTGGGCTTACACATTCAATCTCCGCCGTTTATTTTACTTCTGAGGGAAGATCTTGCCTTTCTAACGATTGCAAAACTATATGCACCGTAGGTGTTCGCCCTGGAGGCAGCACTTCTGTCGCCAGCGATCTCCATCGTAGTCATTTTGCCACTTGCCGGAGGGCGCAACAAATACGGGCAAGGAAAGCCGTAAATTTCAGTCTGAGTGGAGGCAAATGGCCAGATAGGAGGTCGATTTTGGACTGGGTAATTACATTTAGGAGGGGTTAGTAGTACTACTCTGCACGGGGATAAGGATCAAAATTTGATGAGGAAAGAAGTCAGAAGATGCCTCGTGCTAGCTTGTCTCTCTCAAAGATTCATTTATTTTTGCAGCACACTTGGCATGGGGAGTGGCGATGGCGGTGGCCCTGTTATACACGTAGGCCCTTGTTATCCTTACAGAGGGGATGAGATAGCCGTAGACTTCACGGCCCCGGGCGGCGGTGTGCTCCATGATAAAGATAAGTGTCTATTGGCTGCTGACTGCGCTGGCTGGTGAAAGGCACTTCATAGGGGTGCGATCGAGGTCAGGCCGACAGGACCTTTCCCAATGTTCACGGCGGAGGGTGTGCCCGCGGCCTGCTGGTCCTCCAGCTTCAACAGCTTCGCTTGTGCCGTCGCGGGGTTGAAGGGTGAAATGAGGGCGACGTCTACTTGGACCGGTTTGATGCCCAGATTCACTGGACTGCTGAGTTCTTCCAGCATTTTTGCATGGCATGCGCTCCAGAGGTCGTTGTAGGCCTATGACAGTCAACGGAAACACGTAAATGTGGCGGGAGAAAGGTTAGCTGGTGTGTTAGTAGATGCATGAACTATTCAGTACACTACCTCGACTAGATGTCCGTGAAAGTGCTGAAAATGGATTCAAAACACTAACCACTTTCCTTCTAACAAATTGAGATTGGGACAGCGGCGTCATTGGACAACTGCAGTCGGGGGGATACTGCTAGCCACCGAGCGTGCAGAATCCTCGTCCTGTGCGATCTAGCCCTATCAAGGACAGGCGAATTTGGGAGGGCGGTGGACGAATGACTCGTCGGTCACAGGGAAGTAGTGGTAACGGCATTCATCCGCACTCTGTCGTATCCGTAATGCAGAAGTGTAGACCCAGAAAGGAGGGCTTTGAAAAGAACAGATAATTCCACAGTCGAGGCGCAGTCTGTGAGTGTCCATCGACACCAGGGGGTGTTCACACTCTCACTGATTCGCCGGCTCTCCCCCGCCAAATTACTGGTCAGTGGGACTTCCTCTCCCTCTCCTCTACCCCACCACTCAATCAACTAGCTTGCGCTCCCAAAATAGTGGCCCGTTGAACCGAAAAGAGATCGATCTGGGAGGAACCGAGACAAGCAAAATGGCGGATTCCAGCAGGTAGTTGAGAAGAAGGGGATGCGATCATCGAAACGAGCATTTTTGCCGCCTAAAACAGCTGTTTTCGATGGTGGGCTCGAGTCAGCATCCGGAAATTCAAGTGAACAAAACTGTTCTCCCTGTGGGGTGCCCGCCGGCGGTCAGAAGGCATGATTTAGCCCTCGAAGGCTAGTTGATGACTTCCGAAAACTTACTCATTAACGCTTGACACTCAAGGTCCGAGCGCGTGTTTGCTCTACGACCCCGGCTGATAAACTCTATGTCTGCTGGCTGATCATTTCTGGCTGCAGCCACTAAACGCCTCAGCAATTCATCGATGGTGATTATCGAAATGCTTTTTACGTTTTCCCTTACTACTTCAGTAGAAAAAGATAAAGTCTAATGAGTAGAAAACTCACACCCCTTGTCCCCTGTGCATAGGAGTTGGCCTATGGTTGGAGCAATGACTCTCGAGATTAAGATCTAACAACAATACTTGTGGAAAAGGATGATTTCATCAAGAGTGGGGTAATAGCCGAACCTGTCTGCGATTGCAATCTATCCAGTTCTACCGCAATTTAGGGAGCATGATTTAAGCTTAAATTAGAAGACTTGGAACACAGCTTTCAAACTGGCAAAATCATTAACAAATGGAGATTATGTTCCAAAAATAATTGCAGCGACTAAACCAACCGAATTTTTGAACAAAATGCAAGTGCGCAGAAGAATGGCAATAGAGACTGCTGATCCTATCAATTAACTGAAAGCTATGTGCTTACTTACTCGGAAAGTGATAGAATAATTTCAAATAAGTAAGAAAGTACCTTGCCAATCCTAGTAACCTCATATTGGAGCTCCCTGATTGCCTGGTTTTTCCTCTGTAGAAGCTCCTAAAAGACAAAGTGAGCAAATATATCAATAACAATATCAGCGTTAGCATGAGTTCAGTAGTCCCCTTTGAGTAAGACGACGCTTGATGACTCCAACCATACACACGGACAGTTTCTTCGTTTCCAAGCACGCGCATGCGGTAGTTTCGTTTTCGCTTGCCTCTGAGCCTGCAGTCTTTTGCTTCAAAGGAATTAAATGGAGCACTGTAGAAGACAGAGTTGCAAGCCCTTAAAGATTTTACCATTATTGGCTGGTCAGAATTCTACATCCTGTCTCCCAGACTGTTACGTCTTACAAACGACGAAGGAGAATGGTCGATGTCTGAACGAGTATTTTATTTCAGAAGGTCGCGTGAAAAGGTTAAGAAGATGAAGGACCAAGTGAACCCGGGTAAGAAACCTACTGCGATTTATCGAATTCTGTGCAGCAACTGCCTGTACCATTATACAGGTCAAACCGCACAACAGACCAGTTCACGAGTACGTTGCCCATAACCTGATGGAAGGTTAGGGATTCAATTTGACGATCGCACAGTTAATAGCGTGGGTCACCAGTAAGACTGCGTCTGAATCTCTGATGACATTTGTAGATGAGGCGTTCGCTGATCGTGTTACGGAACTCATTTGTCCCCTTATCTCTTGAGGCGCTACCTCATGCCCTGTCAGCAGCCGCTCAGTGGTGCGTGATATGGGCAGAACAGCATTGTCGACAATGACAAAGGGGGCTGGAATGACTATTTCTGGCTTATTACCCCTCGTCAGCCAGCCATTCACAGCCTCAAGGTTTGCAGCCCCTGTGGCCCAATCCCGCGACCTCCTAGAGTTAGTTTATAATGAGGCAGGTTTGCGCAACATCTGTCGAGCTCCCTTTTTCCTTGCTCAGCTTGTTCCGATAGCAAGGCAAGGTCAAGATGACTGGGGGTACGAGCGGGTGCTGTGTCTGGTAAATCTAAACAGGCAGTCCACGCGTGCCAGGCACGTGACCTAATCCCCGCTACATGTGGCAGGTTGTCATAGGGACGGCTCGGATTTCAAACTGTGAAAGTGCCGTCAAGGCCACATTGCAGTCTGGCCCTCGCTTCCGAGATGAGCCGAGTTAGCCCGTCAGTCGGCAGCATTCTGAGTCATCACTCAGTACAACGCTCCCCTGCACCAGCCGACCGCTAGAGCCTGTTAGCCAGTTGGTGGCGGAATTGGGCGCAGTGGCTGACAGCCCGTTTACGCGTGCCACACACACGACGGTCCGACCGTCGGAACCGACTATGTTCACCGTGTGCTCTGCAGCAGAGTGATAACAGGGACAGTGACTTGTGCATGAATTGGTTTAAAATGATAGCAGACCTGCAGAGCACCTAGCACGTTCTCCTCTCCGGTGTCAAGGCATAGACAAGAAGACTGTAAACGAGAGAGGGCGCAGGTAGGTGGTCCACACAAACACCTGACTATGATTTTCAACAACAACAACAAAAGTGGGGGACGGCGCGGATCCCATTTGGAGGGTTGTGAGCCTGCAGGTGGGCCTGTCACCACACTCCAGTGTTGCGGGCAAAACTGACCCTAGCAGACGGTCATGCACTGGACAGTTCGATCGTTGTTGCCCACGATGTTCACCCTGTGCTCCACAGCAAGGTGAGAGCAGAGACGGTGACTTGTGCGTGATTTAGTTTATAGTGAATGTAGACTTGCACAGCACCCATCGCCCTCTCTCCTACTCTCCCACCTGGACTCGTTGTCAATACAGAGTCAAAAAGACCGGAGACGGGGAAGGACGCAGGCGGATGGCGCGGCCGAACCCGCACCTTGGTGTTCCACTTCACACCCTCTGGTCCACGCAGAAAATAACCAGGTTTCTGACCAACAACAACAGTGGGGGCGGCAGGATTCCCAGTGTGCGCGACGTCTGTCGGCAACCGGGTCTGCCACCGCATCCCGAAGTGTTGGCATTTGTTATGGATGCGCATTCCTGATGACGCCTACGTGACTCTGATATAGCTTCCGTGTTGTTTCAGCGCATCTACCGTGTGACCTGCTTTAGAGGCAACGCAAGATGGTTCGACGATGTCCACCGTGTGCTCCAAAGCAAGGTGAGAGCAGGGATGGTGATTCGTGCGTGAATTAGTTCATAGTGATAGTAAACTTTCGCAACATCTACCGCACTCTCTACTCCCCACTTCCCATTTGCGCCCGGTGTCAAGACAGAGTCAAGAAGACCGGAGGCGGAGGAGGGCCCAGATGGCTGGCACGGCCGGACCCGCACCTTGGCGTTCCACTCCGCACCAGAGGCAACACACACACACACAAACGACACATACCTCTAAATGTTGTTTGGCATCCTTAACGGCTGCAGGGTCAGCATTCATGGCCATCACCATGTGGTCAACCTGGGCCTCTCGGGACTCCAGAGTGCTCACAAGGGCTGCCAACTTCTTCTCCAGTATCATGCAGCGTAGACCAGACTTCTGCTTGATGCCCAACATAATCTGTTCCATAGTGTTGGCCAATGAGTCTCGATTTTTCTCAAGCTGGGAAGGTGGAAGGCAGAAACACCAGTTAAATACTGATCTACATATGCGCAAATTAGAGGGGGGGGGGGGGAAAGACGTTCGCTGGAGCGAACACAAGATAGTGCAAATATATGGCCCCGAACACACACACACACGCAGGATGCTCCAGTCAAAAGTGTGTTTGCCTAACGAGCATGGAATGGGGGCTAGCACGTAGCTGGAGTCAATGTGTTTGGAAATCTGAAAACCCTCTCAAATGCATGCATTGATCACGCAGAACACGACATATTTCGTGTACTTTTCATTCTGGACATTTTCCCGGGAAGAGACTTCTAACTATTGACGGCGAGAAAGGTTTACTTTTTATCTATGCTCTATTTTCATGTCTTGGCCAAGTCCTTACCACCCCGGGAAGCCAAAAATAGGCTACCAGGGTACTCTTGCCGCGACCATGGCAAATCAATCAATATTCATATACTACTGACTGCCACTTGGCAGAATGCGAATTTGGCGTGATCACTGGGCGATGGCTGGATATGTAGCCTTATTTCCAGTGCTATAACATGTGTACATTTACTTAGGCATGCATGTCATATTAAGGTTAAGTTTCTGGTCAAGCTTAAGAAACTGATTAAATTCAGGAAAAATGGCCTTATTCAAGGCTAGGCTGGGTTAAAGTTTAGGGTTAGCGAAGCGGCGAAGGCCAGAATTAGGGGTAAGTTTGCCTCGCGCACTCTGTCTTGCCCAATCAGACCTTATTTAACCAATAACCGCGGATTACCTGTTTACTGCCAATGTATACACCCCTAATTCGCATCTCCCAAACCGTGCGGTCTGTTGCGGCAACTCGTTGGAGTAATAAAACAAACCTAATGGGAGTTCTCTCACTGCCTTCCGCAGACTCCGTTAATTGCCTCGTCCATCTGCCCTACTGACAAAAATAATGTTAACATCCTCCCCGTATACCAGGAGTCCCCCAGTGGGCTTACATACTCAATCCTCGCCGTGTATTCCGCAAAAGCTTATGGATTTAAACCTAACTGTTTGTTCATATTGACCCAACTGTGAAAAACTCGGCGCCTCGGTGGGATTCGAACCCACGCGTCGTCCTGCGGGACCTCGTAGCTCAAGTGGTTAGAGCGTTGGCTTTACTAAAGCCTTCCCCTTACTGCGTGGGTTCGAATCCCACCAAGGCGCCGAGTTTTTCACAGTTGGGTCAAAATAAATTATTCAAAATCTGCCAAAATATATATGAACTAAATGTTTGTATTCACTTTCTTGCCTATCTGAGCAGGTTTGTGCCAAAGAATTTACTGTGAGTACCCTAATTCATTCCTATAGAGGCGAAAAGGCAGCAATATAAAACTAGACTATGTACTGGAAAACTCACAGGGGGCGCTGGGAGAGTCGCTGGTGAGCCGAACCCCTCGCAGTTGCATTACGCAGCTACGTAAAGTCGGCAAAACATCCATGCCGTGGCTTTTAGCAAGTACCTCTGCTCTCAGTATGACGAATAATGCCATATGTGTATACCACTGACTGCCAGTTAATAGCTTGTGGATATTGCGTGATTATCCTGCTGCAACTGATAGACGTCAACTCAAACCTCCCTATCAACTCTCTGGCCGAGCCTTTGAGGGTTTGTGCTGAAGAATGCATCCCAAGTTTTCATAGTAATTTTTGCATTAGCAACATAAGCTTACAACCATCTAAACATTGAGCGAACAGAGTGTTTTTTTCCTATAGGATGAATAATATGACTTACGGAGTCCGGAAGTCCGTTTCGGAAATGCACATCTTTTGCCTGTGTTTTGAGCTTGATAAATCAACCTCGCCGTATTTTATGCACTATTGACCGTTATTTGGGGCAATGAGAATATAGCGTAATTATTTCGCTGCGGCTGACGGAGTCTGACTTAAACATTTATATAAAATTTTTGAGACACTTTGGCTCGATTGCTCTACTCCGAGTGTGCAGGTATAGATCCGGGAAAATTGAAGGGCTTAACACTGGAATACCTGGAGCACTCATATATCAGAAAGTACATGACGAATGATGGTCGACGCGCCGATAAGCGAACCCCTCAAAGCTGCGTGGTACAGCGACCTGAAACCTCTGCCTGTCAGTCTCATTGTACACTGGAAGCGCTGTCTCATGAAAGGCGTTTTTGATTCTAGAAGATTGCTTAAGTAGGGTTGTCATATTAATTACCATGTTACAAAATGTCAAGATGTCCCAGCCAGGTCAGGATGCTGGCTTTCGAACGAGCTTCTCATTGGCCGACTGCCCAAACTACATTTCGCAAAAAAATGACGACTTAAGTAGAATGACTTTTTCCCATCGATCCTCCATGCCCTTAGAAATTCAAAGATATTCTGTAGAAAACCTACATAAAAATATTTTTTGACCCGTCAAGGACCCTCAATCTTCTTTCAAAGTACTTTGGCTTTCAACTTCTCCTCTAAGTACTGCAAATGTTCAATCGAAGAGCGGCTTCTGAGGAAAAAAGTATAAACAGCAGGTAAGAGTGTAGGTGCTGGTTGAATAGCACAGTCCTTAAATCGGGCACATTCCACAAACACCTGTTAAAAATGGCCACTTAAGTAACGTTAGTTTTTCCCATTAATTTTCTGTGTCCTTGAAAAATCAGTTATATTTCATGAAAAAAATGCATATAAATATTCATTCTCTTACTCAGTTTTTGACAAATTATGTCTTTCAATTTGTACCCAAAGGATGGATACAATTCGGTTTTCAAATAATCCCAATTCCCGGATAATGTTGAACCTGACCTGCCGTTATACTTGCATTCAGGGTTTCCAAACTATAAGCCCTATACTTTCCGTTTACGGAAATCCATATATTTATCTACGATATTACGAAAATACTATACAACGTCTATAAAATGTAACAATGGATTTCAGCCATTTTTTAACCTTACAAGCCACATTGGTAAATGCAGAGACATGACGTTTTATGAACGGCCATTTCAGTGTATTGGAAAATCTTATAATTAGAAACTTTTTAAAACCGAATTATACCCTTCCTTTGAATATACAATTGGATGAAGACGTAATTTTCTACCGAATGAGCAAGAGAGTGAATATATTTATGCATGTCTTCTAAGAAATATAACTGAATTTTTGGAGGCACCGAAAATCAATAAGAAAAATGCATGCTATGCAAGTAGTCATTTTTTACGGGGTATGGTCTTTGTATGCAGTCGAAAAAAGGTTCCTTTGAAAGCCGGCATCCAGAGGTAACTGAATTATTATAAATTTACGCTGCATGATGATTAGTTTTACAACTCCATCTAATTAATCTTTTAGAAACGAAAACGCATTTCGGAAGTTCGATTGAAGTTTTACGAGTTAGCCCTCTTACTGTAGGAGCACCGCCAATCGCAATCCAGGAATTTTTATTGAGAAAATGATCGTATGCATCTACTGGCGGTCCATTTGGCGAGGGAAATTCGGCTTTAAAAGGTAAACATCAGGCATAAGAGGCATCTCAAATACATACAAGCCTTCACTTCCAAAGGCACACACAACACACTAGGAACCGCATGATCAGCGTTGGATGGAATACGTGCGCATTCAGCTCCAAGAGTACTTAATTTCAGATTTTCCTGTACTTTCAGGCCATTTAATTAAATACCAAATAAATGTTTACATGGTCATTTGCACCCGCCACGCCCTTGATCAGAGACGAGATGGTCCCTTGTCAAGGGCTCAGACCGCTACCAGGCCTCTGTACCGAATAAAGACCTTCTACTGATGCTCTTATTCTCTTAAACAGGGCCAGGCCTTAGGATTGTGATGGTTAGAGCATGCCTATTACCCTAGCCGTTAAAATTTACCAATCGTATTTAAAATCTACAGGTAGACACAGACCTTTCGAATGTAGAGACTATATGGAAAGTATTTCTGGGCCAAACGCAACGTGAAAGGTGCTTTTCACCACTTCCAAACCGTATTCTTAATGTATAGAGGGCTCATAAGTAGCAATGGGGCTATTACAACCAGCACACATGACACTCAATCAAGTCAACACATTCCCCCTGAGTGGAACCTCTATCAACATTAACAAAAATCACTCGAATCAGTAACGCCATTAGTTTATATTGGATTGTTAGGACGTGCCTGACGTCGGTCATCTGTTTTCTTATTCACACCCACGGCACAAGTCAGCGAGTTCAAATACCTGTTAAAGCCGCTTCGATATACACACAGGCTCTACGCGTGGGCTAACACACACAACCAGGGGGACTTCCTCTCGTTTGTAAAAGCTCATTTTAAAAAGACTGAGTACGTACGATTTCCAACCGCGCTTGGAGCACTTCCACCTGCATTTCAAAGGACTTTTTGGTCTTCATTGTCCGCTGCAATTCGTGTTTTGTCACCTTTTATGGATGAGGAAGGAAAAAGAAATTTAGAACAGCAGAGGGAACGACTGGCAGTCATGCGAAACAAAAATGGTTATGGTTACGCAATCCTGTTGCCCCGTGAGGTGGATATCCCTCACTGGTTGTATGTGGTCCAATTCGGTCTGATGCCCCCCTTCTGGACTGGCAGTGCTCGACTGCTAAGATCTTTATCTCATCTCAGACTGATAAAACATGCTCCTGGAAAACGGAGAAGTTCGCATAGTCTACCCCGAACTTCACCGTGTAAGGACGCTCTATCTGCGTGTTGAAACGCATTGCAGTGAGCCGGAAGACAAGATTGCCGAACGACAATACCTCCGACGGGTCTTTAAAGCCAACGACTACCCGCGAAACCTCGTCAACCGGTGCATAGGTAAAAGGGACGAAAGGCCCAACCGCGAGCGCTTTTGTATGTCAAGGAGATCCGGCCACACATTTAAATTCGACGAGGCCAAAATTCTCGCAAGAAGTGACAACCGCGTGAGCTGGGAACTGCTTGAGTCATGGTTTACTGGCCCCCAGTCCATTAACAAGTGCAATGACCTTCCCCTTCCATACTCGGTGCTGAGACTTCGCCTAGGCGGGATAATTAGCCACGCGGGAAGCGTACAAGTGAACACATTTCCCAACTCCAGGGTCGGTGGATCAGATGGTCGGGCAAGTATCGCACCAACATCCAATGCACGTGATGAAACTGCGGCAATTTACGACACGAATGTCTGCCATCAAATTGTCGGCACAAAAGCGCAACGATCCCTGATGAGGGGGGAGCCATGAATATTCTTAGGTATGCGATAGCATGGTGACTGCATCCTATAAATACTGCAGCCCCTTGTGCATGAACCACCCGTATTTGCTTTTGTCTCTGATGATGGGTTCGAGCAGCAATCCGAAACGTCAGGCTAGTAAAGCTCTTGTCCCAGCGATCGTGTTTCCTTCTTTAAGACTGCTTCCTAGGACTAATCTCTTCGCTCCTATTGGCAATCTGTGGGGGGGTTTAGCATGATCTTATGGGTGGAAGGCGTAAGCTTATGTGTGAGTGGATTTAAGTGGGGTTTACGCCGTGCTATTTATTCATGTTCCTGTGCAAGTAGGTGAACGGATCCAAGCGCCTGAGTATCGATCACGCGCACATTTGCAAAAGATGCCGGCTGCGAAGGAATTAGGCCGTGTGTGGCCCTTAACATAACTGGCCGACAGAGTTAAATAAATTAGTATTCTTGATGAGGTGCCTTCTCAAATGAATGCTAGAAATGGAAGTTTAAACAAACCAGGTCAAAATGCAAGAGCTCTAGACTAAACGTCGGACATACAGAATGTGCAGTTTTCTCCGTGTCGTACTGAAGTGCAATTTTTAAGAGATTCTTGTTCTGCGATTCCATCTGTCTCAACTTTTCTCTATGCATTTCTGTTTCCGCCGCGCTTGCATCCAATTTCTTTTGGGTCCGTATAAGATTTGATCTCAATTCCTCTATATTGTCCTGAAATATAAAAAGTCACGTCGGCACAGGTAACAATATAATCAGTATGGAAAATCGTTCAGTAACACGTTTGTAGTTTTAACAATTATGCCTACTTAATAATTTGAGTAGATGTATTTAGTTTGTTTTACATACGCGCAGTGTCTTGATGACGTTCACGTTGCCCAACGTCACGTCATTGTAATAGCTCTTCATCCCTGTAAAGGCTTTGTCGTGGCAAACTTCCAGTTGCTTAATGTGCATATTTTTTCTCTCCTCAGTGGCATGAATTTCACTGCGTCGTTTAGTCTCGAGCTCCTCCCGCAGCATTGCTGCCTGTTTGGCATGTCGTTGCTCCATTTCCTCGCTCTGAACGATAAATTCTTGACGTATGTTTGTCATCTAAAATGAAGAGAGGAGCAGTTCTGGCCTAAAAAGTGCAAAGGACAAGCAAGTGGGTCCACTACTTTGCAAAGCTTTGTTTTCTGTTTTAAGGGAAATATGAGGAGGAGAACGAAACTAGAGTGCGGCAACGCGAGGCAAGTGGATACGGGTGAGTCTACTTCTCGGCTGTCCGCGATATAGTACGTATGACGTTGCAAGAGGGCCAAGATGACGAATAACGAGCACGAGCCAACATTCTAGGTGACTGATCGGCTGCCCCGAGTAAATAGCATTTCGAAAACATAAAAATCATGGCGCGGCTGACAGGAAGAGGAAGGTTTGAGCCCTCAACCTCTGGCGACGATTCTGTCAACCGGCACGCCGGCGTACCTCTCGCCTACCTTGCTACCGTGATTATCTAACTGAACAGAAGCCTCAACTGCTTCCTGGACCCGAATTTTCGCTTGTGTCCACGAAGGGCTGAAACTTATATCTAATGTCTGACGACCCTTATTTTGGTTGGAAAAGAAAGTGATGATGACTTAACTCCAAAAACTGAGCTAGATAATCAAAGAACAAGTTTGCGATGGACATCCTCAGATTAAGGCTACTGCCAACTCTCAGTTAACTAATATAAGGAAGGCTTACTGTGATATCCAGTTGGGACGCGGACCTCTCTGATTAGATATTCAAATCTGCTCTGCCATTCTAGACGGCGTTTCACGATATATCCTCGGTTGAACCTGTTTTTACGGCTGGTCATTAACCGTTCCTCTCCATATTGCGTTAGTTTGAAGAAACGGAACTTATCCACAGAGGCAGTACACCAAATCTTTAAATTCCGCATCTTATGGACAGATCAAAAACCGCCGGATTCGGGGTTCGATATTGAATGGGTACGCGTCCTTCACTGGAAATTTTGAGGCTAAGGAAAACAGCCTCTGAAGCGTCGGACGTTCTCTCGCTTGTCATACTGCGAACATCAGCCAGCGCAGTTTTTCACATGCAAGTGATTATTGTAGCAGGTATAATTTTCTTGATAACAGTATTTGCAGGTCAGAATTCAGCACGGGTCTGGACGGTCATACTTGTCGCTTTGTCCTGTTCAGACATACTATGCATCATGCTTTCCTTACAGAAGTAGTTTATTAAGGTCTATCTTGTGTGGTGAGATTTGACAGGTGACAATAAGCACATCCAGGATATATCGTTGTGAGAGGGAAATTATAACGAATTAAGCACTTAAAAATACTAACATGGGAAGAGGTCTCTATAAAAACGGGGCGTATAGCTTGACTGTCTATACTCGGTCGTCGGGCATGGGATGCCGATTAGTCAAAGTGTAAGAAGGTATATAGTCCCTCTTCCATCTAAATGATAGGGTAGTTCCCAAGTGCGGAATGGGATGCGAGCGGTTCTCCTTTACTTGAAATTTCTAATCTAGGATTAAGGCATATGCTTGCATAGCGCCCAACAAAAAGCAATTGAGAAACGCTACCAATGAAGACGAACAAGACAAAATGGTTATTTTGGATTTTCCTACCGCCCTCAGCCAGGCGCTCTTCACTGGACAACATGCTAGAGTTCTTTCGGGTGCCATGGGGGATGTTTCGTTTGCATAAGACAATAAAATTATCATTTTGTCATCCAGTGCCCGTAAAACTAACTACTGTTGAGCACCAGCTTCCGTGAGGGCACCTGTTAAACACGTTTATCGTATATTACTCAACTATCAAATGGGAGAAATAAAAACCCTTCAAATGGCCAACAGTACATAGTGTTTTATGTGAAATGTGAGATGAAGAGACTTATCGTCTTCGTCAAGAATGGCTGGATTCCTAAGGTTGGGTTTCCTCTGGATTCTGATTGCTGCAGTAGACATTTGTGTCCATCAAAATATTAGATATGTTTGCTACGGACCGTTTTACTGACAGGAAATGGTTGGTTATGCAGAAGACGTTTGGCTACACATCTTTCGATTAGAGATATGACCACTCTTCGTATCTGAACACAGAAAGAAGGTGTTCGTGCCACTGATAAGTAGATTATACGGTATTTTTGTCTAAACAGTTTGTCCCTACGCCTCTAAGGTGTGTACCATACTCATTACTTGTAATGGAAATTTATGTTTGGGTAAAAATATACTCAAAAACCAGCGCATGTTTGGAGTAGCGGAGTCAGAAAAAAAATAGGGGTTTTGTTTGAAACAATCCTGCAGGAATTTCTGTTTCGAATACCTGACGGCCATTCGACTGATATAAATAATTATCGCTGGCCGAGGTTTATGATGCACATATTTGAATACGGCTTTTACGTCCCAGTTGTCTTCTGGCGTTCGAACTATAGAATAAGTTGTATCCCGATTGAAAATTTTCAAACATAAGATCTAGTCGGGATATTTGCTATTAGTAAAAACACTGACGATCTTACTAAGCCAGCTGTGACTCCCATTAGCAGGTCTTCCGCACGTACCGGTTTTGGAATCATTTTCAGAAATCCCGATCTAACCAGCTTTTTGATCATTGCATGTTCACATAACTTCGCTCTCCTAACTCGTAGCGGTGGCAGTCTGCACCTAAGTACCGAGTAAGGTTGTGAGCAATATGTTATTTCCTGCCATTTCTAAGTGCCCTGGCATCAACCATATTGGTCATTAAATTGTAGAAGCACAAATTTGCGCTCCATTGAGTTTCCCACTTCTACAATCAGTTGGCTTTGGTGAGACTCAAAGGACGTTTTATTGTTTCAACTGATTATGAGGTTTTTGGATTTTGTGGACTTAGTCACATGAAATGGTAAATACTCTTCGTTTATGTATGCTTATGAGCTCCCTACCGGTCACCAAAGGACGGCACTTAAGTTAGATGGTCAAAACTACCCCCCGAACCGGCTAGAAGGCTAAGTCAAATAATGGAAACGGTCTGTAATTGAAGGTCATAAGAAAAGAATAAACAGCAGAAAAAAATCCCGGCTGAGCGGCTAAAATAATCACATAAATGAACATACGAAAGATGAAGGAGATTTTCGAAATTACTGGAAAACTGTAAATAACTAACACTGCGTCAATATTCCTGATTTACTTCTGGATTTACCAGAGATTTTAGAAAACACGCTGAATAGTCCTTGTCTCCACGATCTGGCAGACAGTTTCATTTCACAGTTTTCAACTGGATATTTTAGATTCTAATTTTCGCACTGCCCATTTAAAGTCACCAATCGGCAATGTAGCTGATTACTCTCTATGTTTACGTCAAAATCATCTCTATATCAGCGCTATTTTAAGGAAAAAGGGCGCTAAGAGAAACAATTAAATTTTTAAATCAGTTCAGATTTTACCTACTGTGAAGATTTAGCGCATTAAACAATAGGTTTTTCAAGTTGACACTTATTACTAAAACACCTGCGGACAAGAATTTTGTATTTATTGTTTCATAGAAACCAAATATTTAAGGTCAAGTTGTTGAATTAATATATTTGCCCAGCAATATTTTATTATTATTTCGACTCATATTTTCTGTTCTAAAAAGTCAAGCCTTCTCCTTGGTTTGATGTTTTCGGTTAGTTTGTGCAAGATCCGAGTGGTTTTTGACGTTTAATGTCAAAAAAATGCAGCGAGGGCCCTGTGTTTACCTCGGTTTCGTGCTGTCTTTTGAGCATTTTAATAGCTTCTTCTGACTCCAGTTGTCTGTAGCGTAGTTGTGCCTTTAGTGTGTAGTTCTCATTTTGTAACGCTCTAACTTCTATCCGCATCTCATCACTCATTGCGTTCAAGGTCACAGATGTCTCCTTCTTTAAGTCTGCCTCCTTAGAGTTCTGTTCAAAAAGCATGTGCTTCACTTTTTGACGGTAGATCTATAACATGGGAAAAAGCGTTGTCAATAAGGCACCGGACAACCATTCAGCTTGTCAAAAACCAATTACAGGGTTCTTGAAGTCGCTAAAACAAACCTACGCGCATTTCCATCTGATGTCTCTCTTCTGCGTCCTCTAGTTCTCGTTCTTTTTTCCGTAACATTGCTCGAGCCTCTTCACACTGTCTCTTAGTTAACTGCCAAAATGTAGTCAGTTTGTCTCTTTCCAAAGAAAGCATATTTCGTTCTGTCCGTTCTTTGTCCAACTCCTCTCTAAGGAGAATAACAAACTTCTCAATTTCCTCCTTAGTCATATCTGTTGTGCAGACGCCATGGATGACAGTCCCTTTCTTTCCCTTTTTATTTTTTGGAGGCTAAAAGAGAAGAATGTGGCAATAACATACTGTTTTGCTAGTTAACTAATAAATTTTAAACTTATCAACAGTGACTTTAAATCATTTGTCGCATTGATTAGTATGCAGGAAGTGTATGTGCTCCGCACCAGTCTTGAACAAAATTTTAATTTTAAATGCAATTAGCACACCAGTCAATGAACGGATTTGGCTTGACATTGCTTAAAATGATTGGAAATTTGCACTAAAAGACAAGTTTGGACGACGGCACAGCAATGGGGGAAAGTATATTTGCCCGTCTGACCCAAACGTTTCCCACTAACAATGATCGTTTGCATACAATAGAACTATAAAAGATTAGAAATTTCAGTATTTGAGTAAGATTATCTAACAATTTATCATTGCTTTTAATACTGAAAAGGTAGATTAACGAACCATATTTTTTGCTTAATTTCGCTGTGAGATATCGCGCCCTTTAAAGTGCCGACTTTAAATTGTTCGATTTTGTCAAGGTGAAGTTCATATTCAGGTTGACATAACCTGAAGTAGACGGATATTTATTCACTTGCCTACGTATTTCGGCCTTATGTTCGGCAACACCACTAGCTACAACCCTACCTGCTGTATTACCCAGACATTCCACTTTAGACTTCCGCTGAGTACTAGGGTTTCCGTACCACCACATGCAATTTATAAGTAGTAGTCACATTCCCAGGACTAATTCAAACTTTTGGGTCTACCTCTAAGGCCCATAACAAGATCTCCGCCGGGCACTTTTTAATGTTCCGTTTGGGTTGCCTGTACATAGAATTCTCCAGGGTTAACTTTATATATCTCGGTAACTGGCCTCCCTATCTACGAAGTCATTCACAAATACTCAAGGCCTATTATGCAAACTTCAATACCGGTATATATGCAGCAAAGAATTATGAAAGCGTCTGTGTTCAGGTTTGCCTGTCACAGCTGATTCCAGCCCCGTGCCTGTTTACATATGCCGGTGCAATCATGTTTACACTGTAATTGTAATAGTTTTATTGTTAATCGTTTGGAGAGCTCTATCATTGAAAATCAAAAATGTCTGCATTAGTGTTGACCAAGAGTTCAGCAAGGATAACGAATTGCGGAAGGGACTTGGAAAGTTAGCTGTGCAATGGGCGGGAAATTATTGGTGTCTGCTGGAGATTTGGCTTCTATCTAATATTTCTGGTATGAATACCAATAAATTCCCAATTATGTGCTTTTGGAGAAGGAAGAGGCCAACGCTGAGCGAAGCATAGGAAGACCCCTGAATATAAAGCACAGACAGATTTCGGGGAGTTAAATATTTCCACGTTAGTCATTCAGGAAAAGAGACTGCTTTATGATAGAGTATTAAATGGGAGGGTCTGTTCATGGGAAAGCTTAGACATAATTATAGTAGGAATTTGTTAGAAACCATGTGCATTGTAGAAGTAACAGGCCATCCTATGCTGACTGGTTACGGTATGCGATCAAATCTCAAGAGACGGCTACCACAGCCATATGCCCTGTTGTCTATGAGGACAGACGACTTTGTTTGATCCCAGCAAAGTGACAGTCGGGTTACATGCGTCAAAACAATTGCGTGCGGGATGCTAAGTTGCGGCAGGCCTGGATTAAGCCGGCACGGAGAGTGATGTCCCGAAATCCGGGCTGGGGAAGGTGTCATTAGGCATGTACTTGAAGCATTGCAGGCAGAGTTCTCGGAGACCATTTAAATGCACATTAATTTTTCGTATTTGCACCGAGTTTAAAATGGCAGCATTTAGACTGTGTTCGTTGCACAAAACAATGCAGTTTAATAGATTATTGTCGCTGTTTACTTAAGAAGTGGAGATCATGAAGTGGTTTATTAGGATGACTGCAAGCAATCATTTTATGCAAGACATTTCTTGTGAAAAATAGTCGGTTTAAGTCAGTTTATTAAGGAAATTGGACTATGGCCCTTACACTCCCTATTCATATCAAAAAAACAGCGATAAAACCAACTGTTACATCAGTAAATCTGGAAATTCAGAAGTTAACGGTAAGTGTGATCCAGGCGCAAACTGTCGTCGCTAAAACAGTCGTGATTATATGTACAGTAGTTTCCTTGCAAAAAAACTTCCAGCCTGCACTTAAAGGATATAACGGTTTCAGCATGAACCACCGCATCAGGAAGTTCGTTTCCTGCTCCAAATGATCCTCTGCGAGAAGGCCCGTGGCCGGTTCTGAGTCTGCGAGCAGGTTCGTCCGCAAAGGCAATATGGGTATGAATGTATAAGCGTCACGTGAGAGTTAGTGATTGCCAGTTTGGCCAGTAGATCGAGCAATGGCCGAGTTTGTATGCGCCTGTCTTTGACTGCCCCAGAGGCTGCATGCGTATATTCTTCAGGATCTCAGGAGCCGTGATCACATACTTTCTGGTCCCACCTAGGTGCCAGAGAGAGAAGTCCTATACACGCATGAGGATCTACACTTCTAACGCCAAAGGGGCCTAGTTTCTAAGGTTGTAGCAGCCACTCCATTCCCGCTTTTCTCCGGCTCCGTTTTGTCGGTCGATGGCCGCGACAACCGTTGGTAGCCCGCTGACACACGACCACCCCCGCCGGCTAGAACTGGGGCCCCTCCTGTCCAGCTACAGTGACCCCCCGGCTTCCCCCACAAACTGTCATCACCTCAAGCGCGTCGGACGACCTGGCTTGATACCCGTGAGCCCCTATAATTATGCTTCCCTTAATCCTCCCCTAATCCGTCCGATCTCATGACCAGCACTCAACCAGTCACCCCCAGCTACTGACAGAGACTTTCACCCCCGCGTAAACGTCACCCCGCGACTGACGCTCTCCGTGAAAGGACGCTTATCTCTGTTGCAAGCAAACAGCCAACTTACAGCAACCTGCCCTGTGTACAAAATAAACTAGTCCTCAAAACTCCCTGACTTCTGACATTAGACGAAACGAAATTATTGTGCGTGGTTTAAGTTGATCTCCCATTCTCGACCGCCACCAGGTCACTGAAGAAGTACATACTGTCTTTCCTGTAGGGCAGCATAACATGTGGCGTTTAGGATAACTTTATTAACATAAAGTCCGCTAATGTGATCTGCTGCAATGGCAACAGCAACCAGTCGACCGAGTCCACACTGTAGGTATGTACAGAAAGTGGAGGTTTTGTGTAGTGCACTTTTGAAAGTATTCTTGAAGCAGGAAGAGTTTCTAGCATGCGTTAGCATCACTCATAAAAAGGTTTCTCCTTCGGTTTCAAGTTGATTTTGGTTAAATTTCTGAAATCTGCGACGCAGTTGACGCGTCTAATAACTTATTGTCTGCTGTTGTTCGGAGGCGTAGTTAGGAAGTGACAACTCAATTGTTGTAAGTTTGCTAGGATACACGTGAAAGGTCGAGCTGAGAGATAGTTTCTCATTCAACTAGCTGAACTGCTACCTTTGTAGAGGAACCGTGGTTTATTATAAGGGGTAGGTAGTTGTGGATATAAGCAATTCTGACCGAAGACGAGGAAGATTATTTGGGCATCTTTACTCTGGTCGACGCTTCGGTAGTCGAAAGGTCTGCGGGAGCGGAAGCCATTATAACTAGTTTTTGAAATTTATGTTAGTTCAAAAAACAGCACATGCGCTGACGGGAACTTCGTCCGTGATTTCGCACACCAGATAGAGGAAGACGTGATATCTATTCCAGATTAAAGATCATGGCCTGTCTCGATCTCGGCTGGCCTTCACGATTTCAGCTGCAAAAGTCGCAATCGCTTTCGATTAATCGTGAAACGGCGCCTCCCAGGAAAGCTAACTCCTGTCCAGCAAAAAGGCGGGGACAATGGACAGTTTTCATTTGTTCTGCGTATTTTGTCTTTAACGTTAGTTGCCTCAAGGTCACTTTTTTATCGATTTTATTGGTTAGTCCAAGATCATTACATTTTGAAAGAAGACTTCCCAACTCTACCTCATATCCTCAGTAAGTAGAAATAATGCACTTTATCCATGGAGTCTTCCGCTGGAGCCCCCACTCATCCGTCGTTTGGTAGATCTCTGTCGCATTAGTCGATTTTGTTAGCTCTGGGCCGTTCATCCTGTTAAATGCTTATCAGCATGACGCATACCAGGAAGCTAGAAATGGTCAGGATTAATACACAAGCCTTCCTCATCCAGTCTGTCGCGGCTAGGGCTTCTGTGGCCCACAAGCTCTTGACACAAGCCGGCATTCTTGTATGTAGTTGAATGAATTCCACAGCGAACTCTTCTGGGCATCTAAATTTCTATATTATTTTTCACAGACCTCTCGAAGTAACCGTTTGAAACGCCTTCATTAGATCTTGACTGCAACAGCATTTCGTCCGTGAATATCAGTTAAACCCATGCAAGGGCAAACGGTTTATCTCATACAGGTGGGGAAACTGATAAACGGGGCAGAAAAGCCCGAGGTCACAGAGATTTCTGTAACACATTCTGGCGGTGCGTAAAACATCGTATTCAAACAAAACTCATGAAAAGAGCATTACCAAAAAAAATCCTCGATTTAAATCCAAACAGGTCTACGAACACGCTTGTTATCTGAAAATTGCTGCAAACCTCCCAAATTTCCTCTCCTAAATATACCTTCCTTTGGAGTAATCTCGCATCACAAATTCGGCCGTCACTTTCCTTATCGATATCTAAAGTAAAACTATGCAATAAACATCACCTCTGATTGTATAGTCTTTGCCGATTCCCTTCTTTACAAAAGCTCCACTTCTGGCTTTATTAAGAGTCAGCCCTAATTTCGACGTTGGACTTGCATTTGTCGTCTTCTCATCTGGAAACACTTACTTAAACTGACCACCCTTCGCGTCGTTTATCGCTTTCATCGAGTTTTTCCCCTGCAGTGATGAGCTCTGTGGCTGTTAAGCCTACCTTCTCGTTATGTCTCTAGCCGAACTGATGACACCTTCAGTGGACTCGTCTGTTCCGCCTCCTGGCCGTTCGGTTTTTGTCCATAAACGAACAATAATGTTTGTCAGTGACATATCCTGTGTGAACTTACTTGTTGAACACATATTTCTGAACTTAGAATTTCTGCGACAATCTTCCTCTTTATGAACAGTACCCTCGTTGATCTTTAGCGGAACTTTTGCTGTAACCGTCAGTGCTACTTGATGTGCTTCTTTTTGGAGTTCCCAGTCAGATAGGTGAGGAAATGAACTTACTAAGGATACTTGTGATAAGTCTTAGTGAGGAGATTAACGGTCAAATTTTCCGGAAAAATTGGTGTATTTTACTTTCGTGAGCCTAAATTCTACAGTGGAGAAAAACTCGTAGTCCTGACAACACGGTCTTCGTGTTTTCTAGAGCTAATCAGGGTAATTTCATACCATTATTCCATTTTTGATAATTACTTTAGAAATCTAAATGAACTACGGGAAAAGTACCAGACAGCTGTCCAAATAAGCAGAACTCAATTGGAAAGAGGTCCAAATCTGGAGATGTTATGCCATAGCACACACCTTAGACTGACGAAGGCGTAAGACGGTCGCAGCAGCTTAAGTCTTAAGTAGACCCTTGCCTCTACACTCTTCCTAGCCGGTCCCGAAGAGAAAAGAAATTAGGACGCCAGTAGTAGAGAGAGTTGTTTTCCGTACAGAATAAATAGAGAATAAGTTGGGCCGAATCGACAGTCGGGCAAGGGCACATGTCCAACGCTACCAAGGCTGGCGTTCGAATGCCATCGGGCAGGCGTCAGAGTGCCTTGAGCAAAGGCATGTCTGAATCAGCCTTAAAGTTAATTGGCCTGTTGGGATAGCTGTGTCTGGCGGAGAACAAGATTGTCACTGGTACGCGCGAGAGTCGCAGGGTTTCAGATGGCGCCCCGAATAGGATCACCACAAGATTTTGCTGGCTGGAATAAAATCCTTGATTCTGTGCTAACAAAATATTATTCTCCCAGATTTTCACTTGTACTGATGTATCCGGGGCATTATTTAATAAGGGTATGGTATGCAGTCGGGGTAGGTTTTATACCTCATCCGCTACTGAATTTATTTAAGTAGGCGTCGCTCCATTAATGTCTTCCTCTTGTACCAGTCAGGCCCTAACACTTTATTTAGTTCATTTGATTTCACTGAAAATGGCCCGAAAGGGGAGAGCGCCCCGATTTTACACAGAGTCCAGTCGCTTTCAGCATACGTGGACTGTCTGGATACTTTTGAGACGCTCTTCGTCTACTTACCTAGGGCATTAAAGTGCGTAGTTGACTCCGTACAGTAGGACAGTGAGAAACAGTTTTGTCTTACCCTGACGGGAAATTAACTACAAAAAATGGCCAAAAAAATAAGATGATACAGCACGAGACGTGAAAACAAAACAATACCAATGATGTGGTAAGAATCGACGTGCGGCTTAGCTGAAACGCCATCACTGGCAAAGGTATGCAGTTTTTAGTATATTCGTGGTAAAAACGGCACTTCTAGCCTACTTTTAACGCACTCGGCAGGTGGTTTGCCGCAACAAACGGAGTCTCAAATTTTAAGGGCGTTATTAAATTATCCCTATTTTTTGATCGCGCTGAATCTAGCTTGGGTAGGCATGATATGCCGAACGTTGACCAACCTAATGCAATTTAGCAAACCAGTGCATGCAGCCTGGGTCAGGCATGCAGGAGATTGTACTTACATAATTGTACTGTCTATCCCGAAAAGTTTGACTGGGCTGTCAGCGTGCTCTATGGCGAGTCCACAATGGACCTACCCGGTTTTGGCTAATTAATCCATTTTCGGACACTGAACTTTGACGACTGGATGCGTCCGTTGGTGGCTATTGATGGACTAAATGCCATAAAGAGAACGATTTTGACTCCTCTACGGAAAGGGAAGCTAATGCGACAGGAAGGGAGAACCCTCAATCCATCACCAGAATGCTAAAGCCTAACTGTATATTCATAGACTGTAGGGTGCTGCTGCTGCTCCTGCTGCTGCTGCTGCTGCTGCTGCTGCTGCTCCTGCTGCTGCTGCTGCTGCTGCTGCTGCTGTTGCTTCAGGACACGATGTTCCCGCGAGTGGTCAAGTAGACTTACTGATGGGATTGTTCCGACGGTGTGAAACGCCGTCGGTTCCACCACAGTGGCCATGCACTGCGAATTACAATGCGGTTCCGCCGCGACCTTCCAGACTTGATCGCGTCCCCCACATCCTCTCAATCTAGCCAGTAGTTGTGTCAGGGGTGAGTATGTACATGCCACCTTCACTTCCTTCCCTGCGCGTGCTTCGAGCTCTGCTTGTGCTCTTTTTCCTCTCCTAGTGGGTGACAAAGTTAGGCATGTTAACTAATATTGTTTTAGTAAGTTAACAACATGACATCAATCACATGGGGCTGAAGAGCTACACCTCGCCGCACCGTGTTTTTACATCAGTTAAGGATGAGTTGAACTGCCACGGAGAAGGGTACCGCGGTATCTACTTTGCTCCAATTTCCTTCCTCCTGCACCAAAGGCGCAGCGAGTCGACAACTTGATGATTTCTAAGTCACAAGTCAGTGAAGACCGAGTTAGTTGGGACAATTGGTACTGTGGCAAGAGAGGTCATATTCGTCCCAACACACGCAGCAAGTGTCCTCTCCAGTCGAGCGAGTGCCGTTGAAGTTGCATGCCGGGGCGAGGCGCGTGCGTGCGACTGAGCCTTGTCCGTTTACAGCCAATCAGCGAGCGATGCAGCATTGATTGTTTTCGAACTCTTGTCACACCGGCACCAAGGCTAGCTCGGCTTAAGCCATGTATGGGACGTTTGAGGCATTATTGGATTTCACGAATGGAAGAGACTATGCGCATCCCAGGTTCTTGTTTAAAATAAAACGAAGACAGGGTCACTGCGACGGTAGATTTATTGACCTTAGCGCTTTTCGACCGGGTAAAAACGCACTGTGGCGAGCCCGATGGAAGGATTAAAGAACTACGGCATCTCACGGACCAATTAACAAAGAGCGGCTATCCAAATAGTTTCATCAGCCGCACGCACCTACGACGGAGAAGCGGAAGAGAGACACCAACAATTTGGCACTCCCTACCGTACATAAAGAATGTGCCCGAGGTTACAGAACGCATTGCGTCAGAGTTAATCGTGGGCATCACTCATCATCCGGCGGCTACCATGCGTATCAGGATCATGAAAATGAAGGATCGGCTGGACACAGGTGAACAGGCAGGCGTAGTCTATCAAACCCCGTGCCAAAACAGTCCTTGCCACTACACAGGCCAAACAGGACGACGTCTGAGCTCACGAATACTTGAGCACAAACGGGCCGTTCGGAGGCGCGACCAACTATCTAAAGCCGCCACTCACGCGCTGACGGAAGGCCATGGGTTCGACTTTGCCAACACGCGGATCTTTGCGCGAGCCGGCAACAAGACGGTCTGAGAACAGTTGGAGGCGTGGGTGTCGGACGCCAACTCTATCAATAGACATGTGGCGACTAGCCATTCTGACTGGTCTGGTGTCATTGTTCAAGACCTCGCTGCCTCAAGGTCATTCACCCCTTGCTGCGAGCCGTCCCAGACGAGCTGACCTGAAGTCACACGACCAACAGCTCGGGCATACCTGCGTCCGCGCAGTCGCAGCTGCCCATGCGGCCACTTGAACGCGCCACCCCCTGCAACCAGCAAAACAAGCCACTGGGACACCACCCTCGGCAAATGCAACACACGCTGACTGGATACCACTTGAGCTTGGCCCACGAGCCTACAAAAGCGGCTGCCACCACCATCTCAAGGACTCTCAGGCCTGACTGGAGGCAGTAAACATCAGCCCTGGCTTCCCCAGTGGCCACTGCCGCCTGAGAGGACAACTCTGGGCTTTGCATGCAATAAACCCCTAATTCTGGTGTCTTTCGTCTTCTCCTCACTACTTGGGATTCGAACTGGTGGTTGTAGAGCTCAGAGCACTTATTCTCACTGTTGTGCAACGACAAATTTGAGTGAGGCCGGGGTATTTGGCGAGGCGTTGTCGAAATGGATTCTCGGGTTCAGGGTCCAAGACGGCAAGATGACGGGAGGCGTCGGAGGAAGAGATGCCTCGGACAGTGAGGTTGGTAGTCTTGTCGTGTAGACGTGACTACCAACCTCACTGTCCAGGGCATCTCTTCCTCCGACGCCTCCCGTCATCTTGCACCCATATCTTTGATGGTCGATGCCTCCAATGTTGCTGTTGGCGCGGTTCTTCAACAAAGTCTGCCGGATTCTACCGTGCCTTTGGCTTTCTTCTCCAAGAAACTATCCAAAGCAGAAACCTGCTACAGCACATTCGGACGTGAACTTCTCGCCGCTTATCTTGCCGTAAGGCACTTCCGGCATTTACTCGAAGGTCGAGAGTTCACAATTTTCACTGATCATAAGCCACTCACGTTTGCAATACATTCCCACTCTGACAAGCTAAGCCCCTGGGAGATCCGTCACCTGGACTACATTTCGCAGTTCACTTCAGACATCCGCCATATTGACGGGTCACGGAATGAGGTGGCTGACGCACTCTCAAGGACTCTCAGGCCTGACTGGAGGCAGTCAACATCAGCCCTGGCTTCCCCAGTGGCCACTGCCGCCTGAGAGGACAACTCTGGGCCTTGCATGCAATAAACCCCTAATTCTGGTGTCTTTCGTCTTCTCCTCACTACTTGGGATTCGACCATGTGGTTGTAGCTCACCGACTGCACACACACACCGCCTGGCAGCAACAAATTGGTGACATCGACCATCAAAGATATGGGTGCATCAGCGTGAAAGTGAGTCAGGAGGGTGGCGTCAGCCAGAAGGGCTTTTACCTGCTCAAATGACGTGAGTGCGGCTGATGTAAATTCAAAGGTGCGCTTAGAACCAGAGAGGAGACTGGTCAGAGGTAGGATGGTGTCGGCACAGTTTGGGAGAAACTGGCGATAAAAGTTCACCATACCAAGAAACCGTTGCAACTGACGCTTCGAGGTAGGGGGTGGAAACTCCCGAATGGTCGGACAACCTTCCCCTTGCACTCCTCGGCATCGGCGCAGCTCTGAAGTCGGATCTGGGCTGTAGCACAGCTGAATTGGTTTTCGACACTGCCCTCCGACTGCCAGGCGAGATGATCACTCCAACCTCTCGTGGCGCCGACGAGACTCCTGACAATCTTGTGCACCGTTTGCGGCAATTTATGCGCTCGCTTTCCCCGGTTCCACCTCGAGCTCCAATGACTGAGTCTTATGTCGAGAAAGACTTGGACAGCTGTACTCATGTGTTCGTCCGGTGTGACCGCGTGCGCCAGCCGCTGGAATCACCGTACGAAGGACCGTTCCGCGTGCTCGCGCGCAACGCCAAGACCTTCCGGGTTCTTCGCAGTGACAAGGAGGACGTGGTCAGTGTCGATCGGGTCAAGGCTGCTGTTGCAGAGAAGCCGCCGGACCCGTCACAAGGACAAAAATGTGCTGACCCCCTAACCCCTGTTCCTCCATATTCCCTATCCCGTGCTCATGCACCCTGCCCACTACCTCGCCCTTTCCATCCCTTGCCCTCTATCCCTCCGTCCCGTATACTTCCTTTACCCCCATGTCCGCAACCCACAACTGCAACTACTCCTTCATCAACCAACAACACTGTAACCGCGAGCCATACTCACTCTACTCCTGTGCCCCCTGTATATATCACCCGTAGCGGACGCCATGTTCACTTTCCTGACCGTTTGGTCACTCATGTTTTTTAGATATCAACAGTTCCTTCGGCATCGCTATGCTCCGCCTTTGGTCTAGCCTGGGGGTACTGTGGCGGTTCGCGTCTCCTCACCCTCCGCCTTTGTCACGCTGCCTTCCTGTCCGCCTCACACTCCGTGTCGAGATGCTGCTGGGACGCGCGAGTGCTCGAAGCCAATCAACGCTGTCCCCACTCTGATTGGCTGGCGACGTGGAGACAACGAAGGGCGCACACACGCGCTAACACAACACCTCGAGGGCGGACGCAGACAACAGCTTGCTTGGAGCGCGCTTGCGGCGACTGCCCACACAGCTTTTGTGTACACGCTTTCCAAGCAGTAAAGTTTGTCCAACTCAAACCGTCTTCCCTGACTTTTGATTGGTAATCTTTATCTTGTCGACCACACGACCTTCGACAGATACACTGATTTGTCTGCGTTTTATCATGCACTCCGCCCACGCAGCCAGGTGGTGCAGCTCACATCGCCGTGAAGTACAAACGGCGTCACCACGCCGAGGGACCATTGTGGGCCAGGCAACACAAACCAGACCTAGCCACGGTCTTAGTCCCCTCACCTCCCCCCTCACGGGACAACGATATAAATGTTCACACGTTGCTGCACTCTAGCAGGCTCTGATGATGAACTCCAGCTCGAGTTCGAAAGCTAAAGCCAATAAATATACGGTCCCAGTAGTTTGATTTTGTTGTGCAAAGTGCGGGTTGCTGGCGTTGATATCACGGTGAAATTGAAGATGCCCAAAAGAATCATTCTGAGCGCACTGACAGGGGTTGGGCGTTGATGGCATTATTCGGTCCTTATTGTTTAGTTTCGAAAGTGACTAATTTACTTTTTCAGGGTATTGGCATGTCTGTCACTTCTGTAAAATATTTGCTTGTTTTCTGCCGAGTTTAGCATTTAAAAGACTTGCCCGGGTGTTAAACGAAATAGGAAGGTCAGGTCTAGGTAAACATTCCGCTATCGCCCACATGACCTTGGTGTGCTTGTGCTTGATTGCAAGACTTTCGAACAAGAAGCAAGTCAGAAGAAGATAGCAGTTCAGCTACTTCCTACACTGGTCTCAATGAGGGCTTCCCAATGGACACTTCTACCATAGTAAATGGAACAGATTAAAGTCGCCAAAGTAGTTAGTCAAACGCAGTGTGTTCCACCGCCTTTTAATTGGAATTAAGGTGTCTCTGGTGGTAATTAGCTTCAGGGCAGAAAAGGTTTTTGATTATGGTGCCCAGCACACCCACCAGCCCACACTCCCAAGGGAAAGTAGCGGTACCATCTGAAAGCTGGCGATTTATTGGGGAGAGCCAGAGGTGGCCGAGCGCATTGCTGTGTGACTAGGTATTGGAATTGCTTAACGGCTCAAAACTCCCGTGCACAGCAGTACCATGAAAATAAAGGACAGGTTGAAACCCAGGCAACAGTCCGGTGAAATATATCATATCTCATGCCTAAACTGCCCTTCTGCTTACAAAGGTCAGACCGAACTCGTGCTCGGATCGTATATACACGAACATAAGCCGGCTATGGAACGGGTTGGCGATTTATCACAATTGGATGCTCACACCTTCGAAAGGAGTCAGGATCTTAACCTCGCAATCGTCAAGACAGACCGAGTTGACTAAATCAATCAATGCATTGATCTGACGCCCGTGTGCGAAACCCTGTGCAGTCACCTGTAATCTTGCGACACTGGCCGTTGATTGGCTAATGACCCTCTATAATTGTCACTTAGTCTGCCACTGGTATCCTCTCTGAGGATGGACTCCCGCGTGAGTACAAAAGCTCATAAAAAAATAAATGAATGACACCGGTGCTCCTTACTCACCTAGAAGTGCTTTCCGGGAGGCTGGACTGGAGAGAAATGCGAGAAAAAGGCTCTCTGTGCAAAACCCTACTGAATTTCATCAATAAGACAGAGACGACCTGCTACTGCAACTTCATGTTAAGCAAATAAACGATAATAGTGAAAGGAGGCAAGACTGCGGCCTTCGGTCGGGAGTCTACATACCCTTGGACCTTGGACTGCAAATCCAAGACGCCAGCACATTGGCCTGACTCTTACCTGCCACGCATTACGAGCTCAGCTCCGCCACACCTGGCGTGACCCTGTTATCGGTCAAGGGCGTGCCCCGTTCACAGGCGACACGACACCGCTACAAATAGCGCACATACGTGCCCTGCTTCATCGGCCCTGACGCTGGCCTTTCGCGGGTGGAAGTCGAAAGCCTCGGGCAAATTAATCAATGCTCCTGCTGTTTGACCTGTCGCCATGTCAACAACAACAGCCTGGAACTGGAATCTTTGCCTGCAGTCGCGTTGGGGTGTTTGCACCGCCCGCCGGAGACCAGATTGCAGCACGCGATGGCATTTAACTTGGAAGTTGAAAAGTGTGCGCATCCGAAAACTGCCAGTAGGCCTGAAACAGACCTGTAGGCTCGAATCTCTGCGTCTACAAACGGAAAGCGGTGCAATCACAACTGCTAGATAGCAGACAACTACTAGGAGCTATGGGTGTGAGAGTAACAGCCTGACATCGAAACTATGTACCGCCTTAATTTTTGGCTTTGCGGATTTGTTTGGCGGACGGAGACTGGAGATCGTCAACCAGAAACTAAGTGCCATCAAGGGTTCACTACCAAGGAGAGAAGAAAGGATGAGTTCGTGATGAACGGGATTAGTTGGAATCTTCAGAGTACAGCAGACATCTAGGTAGCAAACATTGCCTGCAAGCTCGAACACTGCTTTTGTTGACGGGTCACGGAAATAGGTATCGCCCCCCCCCTACCCCACATGACAGGCTAGATTTCACCGGGGGTATGGTTATGGTTAATGCTAGGGCAAGAGAATGGGTCCCGCACAGGAATTTTCCGCAATGGGAGTGCCCATGCCCGTGTCCAACACTTTGCTGAAAGCACCCAACGTAAGGCCACTGTTTTGGTTACAACGGTCGTGTGTCGTTGACGACAATGTCTACCACAAATCCTCTGCGGTTCTCCTTTCCACATACACCAATATGGGGCCCCAAGTAGGCGTGTTATATAAGCTGCATGCAGTTATCCGCTTGCCTGAAATGACACCGTCCCTTCCATCTTCCTGCCGAAGATATTCACAGGACGGATAGTCGGCAAGGTCGGCGGCTTTACGTCAGGTGATCCTATCCGTTGCAGATACCTCCTGACAGTTCCAGCCTCGGGACTCCTTAGTTAGCCCGAAATTTTGCGGTTTTGTCGGCCACGTCTGTTCATGCACAAACAAAAACCCTGGTCAGTGAAGAATGCGGCCTGCGGACATGAATAAATAAATACATTGCTTTATTTAGTACCCCCAAGGCTACTTTCATGGTCTGTTTGTCACGTTGATGTGTCACGGGAGCCGCAGAAAGGCATGCCTGAACACTTGTTTAAATGACCTTGGGCAAATGCTACGGCCGACGGAGTGGGCTGCTACACTTTCGAAAGTTTTGACGTCTTCATCTACACTTAGCCTCCCTGGCATGTGATTTAGGAACCGTCGTGTTGTCCGCCACTGGGAACTCTGGCGTCAGCTCTCCATCTCGACGCTGCAGCCGTCAAGGCACAGAAGGTGCACCTTAAGTACCCTAATCGGGGGGGGGGACAGTTTTGAGCACCAGTAGGGAATGAAGTAGCTCACAATGAAAGATTTTTTGTACGGAATCCTGATCTGCCGCTTCAAGCATTTGTTGCCTTTAGCAAGGCCGGGGTATGTACTGTCAGTGCCAATCATGCCCGACAGAGTGTGGACGTGTGTTTCAGTGGTCTTCTGCTTTGACCTTGTGTCAGCCGAGTCAAAGGTTTTGGCAGGATGGTAGTTGGTAGCCCTGCCTACTGATTCTACAATTGTACCTACTGGCTCGATTTCAGTAACTGTGATTACGGTTTTGTAGCGTCTGGTTAGTGGGTGTACTCGGAGCGCCACGATCTTCAGGCCAACTCCCGAGAGGAGTGAGAGGTTTGTTGCATACGGAGCCCTGAGTTGCTGTCTCAGACGGCATCAGCTAGGCCAGATCAGGGCGTATGCTGCTGGCAGTGTTATGTAGGCCCGAAGGAGGGAAAGACGTGTCAATTGCTTTCCTAGGTTTGCCGGAGTTAGATCGAGAGACTGAGCATGTCTAATGGTGTGTGTGTGTTGCATTGGCCTAGGGGTGGCGCGTTCACATGGAACATGGACGGCGGTGACTGTCTGGATGTGTACAGGCGCACGTCTTGTAATAAGGTCAGCGCGTCTAGAACCGTTTTCAAAGCAGGTGGATAACCTTGACGCGGGAGGGCGTTGAACGAAGACACCGGACGTCAATCTACAGAACACCGACAAACGCGCTACAAATGCTCAGTTACAACAGCAACCACCCACTGCAACAAAAACGAAGCTGTGTGCGCACGCTATACCGACGGGTGGAAACTCATTGCAGCACTCCAGTCGTCAAACTGGACGAGATGAAGCTCCTCCAAGAACTCCTCAGAGCTAACGGCTATCCGGGAACATTCGTTGAACGGAGCCGAAAGCAACCAAGGAGGCGGAATGAAAAACATAGTCAGCCAAAATTGTGGTGGAGCATTCCGAAGCCATAGCTAGATCCCTCGCGTCGCTCGGAATAGGCGTTGCCCACAGGTCCGACTCAGCAATCCACCGGCAAGTGATGTTGCCAAAAGACCCTATCCCTAAGCAGGAGATGCCGGCTGTTGTCTACTGACTTCAGTGCAACTGCGGAATGTGCAACTACGCTGAGAAACCGACCGACGACTACAAACGCGAATGCACGAGCATGAGTTGACCGTGCGAAAATTGGAGCCAAAGTCAGAAGTAGCAGCCCATGTCGCGCAAATGGGACACGTCTTCAACGTTGACGCCGTTGAGATTGTGGGCCGGGGCGATGGTCATACAGCAAGGCAAGTGCACGAAGCCTGGATGTCCACCGACTTCTCTGTCAAGCGCCACATCAATTTGCCTCCCCCCCCCCCTATCTGGTTTTACGGACATTCTTGACGCGGGACAGTCACGGAGCGGGACAATCGGGGCCGTCAGCTATCGCCACGGCCAACGAAGATGGGCGGGATTCAGGTCACGGTGCCATGCGAGTCGGATGCAGCCACACAGGCGGCATTGGCGGGCCAGGCATCAAACAAAGTGCGCCACATAAGGAAAGCTGTGTGCATGACTGCTCAGTCTCTGGAGATGGGTAGAAGAAACAACCACTCGAAACGTCAGACCTCCAATACACCCTCCCGGTGAACGCCTCCTTTTCTTTTGAAATTTCTCATTATTAGTAAATATGACACGCCTGAACGTATCATGACTTGGTAAAAT